GTAATCAGTGTTTATTTAGGGTGTTTATTGATGTTAATTATGTCTGTCAAATTGTCAATACACCATTGACTTTGGTAGATTTATATGGGGTTTTGCATATGTGCTGATTTGATTGGCGATTCGGACGATTGCTTATGATATAGTCGACCCACCCTAATGATATAGTCAATTATGTCTGTCAAATTGTGAATGCACCCTAATGCTTGTACAGATTTTAATCTTGTCAATTATTAGAGAGCTAAGCTTGTCATGTTGTCAAATTTTTTTTTTACATATTTGGTTATCGATTGTGACTCATCAGTCGGAAATTCCTGGGTCCGCCAGCATGGATCATCAAAAAAGTAAAATTAAGGGCCATCAATAAAAGATTTATTTCTTGGTGAGTAAGTTGATGAATTCATGCATATTTTATTAGCTTTTCAAAAGTAATAACGAACAAATCTAATCCATTCTTTTTTATTCTTTTAGAAGATAGAAATAATGAGTACAAAATCAAGTAACATTTTATTACAAGATCAGTATTTGGTTAGGGTAATTAAACAAATAGTGTCAATTAAATTAGGAAAAAGTGGGGTCAAGGTTTGTGAATGATTGTTGATGGTTAATAAACTTTTGAGTTGGCAAACGAACTTTGTGATTGTAGCTAACTTTTGAACACTATACAACGGCAAGTGGTTTACTAAAGGTTGTTCATTACTGCTTGCATTAACCTTATCTACTTGTGGATTGAGCTAGCTAGCTAGGTGTGTAAAATTCAACTATCTATAAAGTAGTTAATTTCATTGTTTTAGATACTTTGGCAATAACAGGGTGGATCGGCCGACATGGATAGGGTTCTTCAACTCAACCGTTGATTATATATGATTACCCACTTAAAATTCAAACCGTATCTTGTACTTTCACTTAAACTTAACCAACCCAATTCGATGATAAGTTGATTGTTTTCGTAGCCTTTGGACACTTTTGGAGACTAACACTATGTTTATATAATAATAGTGAAGGGAAAGGGAGGGGAAGGAGAAAGAGGAAAGGGAAAGACAGGTGAGGCGAGGGAGAAAATCACCTTCTATTTTCCTTCCAAATTTCTCCAACAATGAAGAAATTTGGTTTAATTTATTTAAAAAGGAGGGAAAATGGATCCTTTCAATTCCATCCCTTTCCCTCCTTACATTAGGTATTTAAAGATTCCAAATAAAGAATGATGCATCATTTCTTTTTGGAAAATTTTACAACAACAAACTAACCTTTGCCCCATTCTCCCAAAATGAACCAACCTTTAAATCTTCCCAAAATAAACAGAAGTTTGCATTTTTCTCCCAAAATGAACCAAACAAGTCACCTTACTTGTATACCAGGTAAAAATCCACTTATCATTAAATCATTGGTCAAGGTTTTTCTTTAAATTTTTAATTTTGATAGATTTTACAAAAAAAAAAAAACAAAACAAGAAGTTAAAAAAAAACCACCCTTTCCCACCACTGCCAGACCCCTCACCACCAGCCACCCCATTAACCTTCACCGCCATCACTTCCACCTACTATACTACCACCTATGTACACCACGAGCAACAATCACCATAGAAACCAACATACCAACCACCAAACCACCGAAATCACCAACCAACCAACGAAACCACCAACCAACCAACGAAACCACCATACCAACCACCAAAACCACCATACCAACCACCAAAACCACCATACCAACCCACCCCACTAACACCAAGATCCAAAAATTAAACCCACTACCCGAAACTGTCATAACCATCCTTTCACCACCACCAAGATCCAAAACCCACCCCATCGAAACCCTTAATTTCTTTATCTTCCAATTGTTCTTTCTTTCCACATCCGTTTCTCACTTTTTTGGAGTTTACGGATTGTCGGTTTGGGAGTTTCATGGGGAGCGGGGTGTGATCATAAAATGCAATGGAAGGGGGAGGGGGAGTGGGAGTGGTGGCCGGAAAGGGGATGGTCGAAAATGGGAGGAGAAGGGGGAGGGGGAGTGGTGGCCAGAAAGGGAGGAGAGGTGGAGGACGGGGTGGCTAATTGTGGGGGTGGGGAAGTGGTCTGTTTTGTTTTAATTGTATTTTTTTAATTATTTTGTTAATTTGTAAAAGATAATTAAAGGTTTTTACTTTTTTAAAAAAAATAAAATTAAAGGAAAATTAAAAAAAAATGATTGATTTTAAAGGTTACTGGTCATTTGGATTCATGTTGGGAGGAAAAAAAAAATGCAAACTTATGTTTATTTTGGGAAGATTTAAAGGTTAGTCCATTTTGGAAGAATGGGGTAAATGTTGGTTTGTTATTGTTAAATTTTCCTTTCTTTTTCTCTTCTCTTCCTTTCCCTCCATTTCTCTCTATCCAAATACAGTGTAATGGCCATGGAAGGTCATTTTGTAGGCCTATAGCAACTAGCATGGAGTGGGAGTTCCGACGTTCCTTCAAGCAGTGCAGACACTCTATGCGTTAGAATGTGTTGGGTTGTGGGTCATGTTGGACTACCTTTTTTAATGTTTGAAAATCACTACACATACATAATAATTTAGGCTCAAGTGCACAACACGATGAGCGTGTAAGCTCAAGCCATAGACGAAGCTAAGGGTGGGCCTATCTAGGCCAGGCCTACCCTATGACTAGATATTATTTTAATAAGTGTTACACTTTGATCGGCACATAATTTTAGGCAATATAACTGACTTAAATAAAATATGAGGTAAGTGGATGGTTGTAGTATCAAAAGATGTAAAAGAAAAATAGTGAGGTTGATAGTTTATTGAAAAGTAATGAATGTGAAAGGAAAAAAATAATAAAAAAAGTAGTAGTGGATTTGGGTGGAGACCATGAGAGAAGAGAGAAATTATATTTAAATGTATTTTTTTGTCGAAAAATAAAGTGTAACACTTATTAAAACGCGGTCGCATAAAGTAAATGTAACACTTATTAATACACAGAAGGAGTTTTAATGAAAGATTTGTTTACCCAGCATATCACTCTTGATGCATCGTGTCAGGTATGTGGCTATGAGAATGAGTCCATCATTCATTCTCTTTTTCATTGTGAGGCAGCCAGAGAAATATGGAGACATGGTGATTTGGTGAAACACTTAGATGGGGCTCCTGCAGACTCATTTAAGGAGAGATGGAGGTGGCTGGCGCACATATTGAAGGCCAAGGATCTGATTGCAATGAAAGGCAGAACTTGTTGCTGTTGGGCCGGCTTCGATGGGATGGTGGATGAGTATTGTGGGTATGCGCGGCAAGTAATATGGGTGCCTGCAAGTCAAGGGTCTGGTGCTGCGAGTAATGATGCTGCGAGATGGTTTGCACTGGACCTTTCTCTCAAAGTATCACTATTTTGGCGGAAATCGATTTAACTTATAAATATACTCGTGCCACCTTTTACTCAAAAAAAATAAAGTGACATTCTCGTCAAAGATTGTTATAAATGATAATGTACGTGTTTTCTAATTTTGTAACTATTAAAAACATGTTGATCATATATAAAATCTTTTTTTTTTTTTCAAATTTAAAGCATTGGTTACTAACTAATCAACTTCCTTTGTTTTTTTTTTTTTTTTTTTTTTTATTAATAATTGTGTTAAATTAGTATTTGACTTTTTTTTCCACTTACCTTTTTTTTAAAAAAACAAGACAACGAGTATTATTATTGCAAATTAAGTTACACCAAAGCTAAAATACTTTGGGGAAACGAGTTTGATACAAACAAGTTCATTATTAATTGGAACCTTTAGGCTTCGTTTATTTTGGTGGAAAACATTTTCCTGGAAATGATTTTTCTTCATCTTTCATTTTCCTCTGTTTGTTTTGATAAGAGATGGAAAATAACTTTTCTATAGGTAGAAAATTGCACTTTAGAAAAGGAAAACAGTTTTCCTTAGAAAAAGAAGGTATGCCACATTTTCCTCTTCAATCATTACTTCTCCTTAATACTCTCACCTTCCTTTCTTTTTCTCCTTAAATTTTCCTCTAATCAAACAAACAAAGGAAAACTTTTTTTAAAATCATATTTTCATTGAAAATTGTTTTCCTTGAAAAGTGATTTTCCATGACAATTGTTTTCCTTTAAAACAAACGGAGCCTGAATTGAAATATCAAAATTGCATTAATTGCCTTCAAAAGGCGTAATTGGTAGTTCAAAATTAGTACACCAATATTTTGCTCCTCTATATAATAGAGATTAAGGTTAGACTTAATATTGGAATATCAACAAAAGTAGAGATTATTATTGTTATTATTTTTTCTTTTTTTAATAGTCAACACAAAATAAAAGGAAAAACATAGTCATGTTCCTCCTCTCTCCTCCTTCCTCTCTCCAAAACCCTAGCCTTCATTTTTGAATTTTGAAGGGGCTTCCATCGGTTTTAATCGGTGGAAAGCCCCAATCCTTGTTTCTTTAAATTTTTTTAGGTTTATAATAATGCTTCCTCCTTTTGGGAGGAATTTTTCTCCCTCGAAAGAAAGGGTTTTCGATCTCCTTCGAAAGACAAGGGTTTTTCGACCTTCTTCGAAAGACAAGGTTTATCTCCTCTTTTCAGGGGAAAAATTTCTTAGTTTTGAATCCATGATATTAGATCTAATGGATTGTCGTGAAATTATTTCGTTGGTGAAAAAGTTATCAAGTTTTCGAATACAGACAGATGAATCAGAAGGAAAACATCCTCACGGCTACAAAGGATCGTTAGATTGTCTCTCCAACGAGGCTGTATTTTCCAGCGATATAAGCGGGAGATGTTCCACAGTGCAAGATCTACTCGACGATCGTAGTTTTTATGAAGGAATTTTTTATTTGATTCAATATCTTATGTATTTGTTAACGTCGAATCTCTATTGTAGATGTTGTATGACTTTTAATTAATGAAATATTTTTGCTATTAAAAAAAAATGAACAAATGGGAAAAAAAGAATTCAAACACCTAAAAATCAAACAACAATAGGAAAAGTGGAGCCGACAAAAGTGACACAACATAAATCAAACACTAAAAAATAACGGGTTTACAACACAATTAAGTATACGGTAAACACAACATGACGTGATTATTTAAGTAGATTAGATTAATGTAGAGATTCTCAATACAAAGCTAGCACGACTTAACAAAACCAATTAAAAAAAAACCAGTAGTGTATAAAATTATTGATAAATGTATTGAATGAGGCAAGAGCTTTTCATGTAACACCACAATATGACAAATACAATAATACATGTTTGCAACTCTAAGGGAAATGAGAGATTACTTTAGATGGATTATTATGACTCCCACAATCAGACGTACTTTCTTGAGCAAGTTGAAATTGGCCCCCTTATCCACTTGGAAATATTTTCTGCCACGACACGGCACAATACATTTGCAACTTCAAAATAAATTTTTTTATACGGTAAGAAATTGGGGGATTTCCCCACCCTATCACAGAAATGGAAGAATGAGGATCAAACCCTAACCACTTATGAGGGGGGCCTGTCCTCCAACTCCAGAATAGATGGGGATTACTTATGATGGGATATTATGACTTCCGCGGTCGGATGTACTCCTTGGAGCAAGTTGAAATTTAGCTCCTTCGTCAACTTAGATGTTTTTTCCGGCACAATGACTAGTTGCTCAAGTGTAATGGAATTTCTGAGCAAATATATCAAAAACTCCATATCTTTCCACATTTCACTATATCTTTCAATAGTAACTTTTTTCAACTGGAAATGTAGGCGGTCCGAATACTGTCTTATGGGGCTTCGTTTGAATTCACAGCGATACTGCATCTGAAATCAATTGAAAAATTTAAAATATTAACAAAGAGAGTAACAAGTTTGTAACAGATATTAACATCATCTTTAGTAATATACTTCCTTTTCTTTTTTTACACACTTTGACTTTTGCCCTATTCAATCTTGTTTGTATCATATGAATGTAAATTTAATAATATCCACTTGTGATTAAATTGATAATTAGAAATATTAACAATTCAGGGGTCATCAAGAATTGACCCGGTCCAAGATTTTTGGCGATTCTGGGTTTTTAGTCAAATCTCGGTTCATACAGTTCTTATATTAATTGTTTAAAACTTGGTTGACCCGGTACATATATACCTCTTTATTAATAACTCTAGTTTAATTTTTTCAGTAGTCGTCTGCTTCCTACCTCTCATCCTCCCTCCATTTTCTCATTTCATTACTAGTGTTTGACTTACTTTGACCGTACATATATACCATTATTTTTATTTTATTTTTTTTACTTGGTTGTGGTTTTATTTTAAGATTTTGCACATATAACTATATAAGTGCTTGATTTAATTTGACTTGCCCTTGATTAAATAAGTGCAATTTGATAATGGGTTTGCGAGGTCAAGATGGAGAATGACTGTATAGTGAGGTGGTCATTAACGCCATTAAGCGCAAGGATGTGGGAAATAATTATTTTCACCTACTACAACTCTACTTGATGATATTTCTCACAAGGCTAGAGTATTTTATTGGAAAAATTATTATTAATAATAAAATCTTTGGCCCACTTTTTTAAAATAATACAACCTTTAGATTATACCTAAATATACAACCTTTTGGGGGTTACTATTTTCAACAAGACAAAAAACTTGTAACTGGTTAAACAATTTGTCAATGACACGTGTTCATATAAATATATAATTAGTCTAAATTAATAATTTTTGATTTTTTTATAATAAATATATTTTTATTAAAAAAATTTAAAAACCCCAACCCCAACCAGCAGCACCTTTCCGGGCGACAATCCTCCACGTCGAACCCCAACGGCCCAACCCCTTCCCCCGGCGACCCACCTCCCCGATGAATACGGGCTGGGTTTCAGGTGGTGGTCACGAAGGGGAAGGACGGTCAAAGGGCTAGGTGGCACATTTGTTAGTTGTTTGGGAGGTCGGCGGTGCATTTTTGATGGTTTGGTGAGGAAGACGGGTTGCCGGAGGTGGTGTAGTGGTGGTGTTGGTGGGGAGGAGAGAGAAATTTAAGAAAACTAAGACAATCATAGGAAAAGACGTGGCATAGTTAACATGTTCAACAGGTTACAACCGATTTTTGCCAGTCCCAAAAGGTTGTAATATTCATGTATAATCCAAATGTTGTATTAATTAAAAAGAACGGCCAAAAGGTTGTATAATTTTTGACAATTTTCTTATTTTATTTTGTATTTGTTCTTTTACTAAGAGGGTAATATAGTAGGCACACTATCTATAATTTTGAATATTTTCAAATTTATTATTTTAGGATTCTAACATTTTGAATGATAGAATTTCAAACTGCATATATGTGGTAAATTTTCTAGATTATAAAATTTTCGAATTATCTTTATAAATTTTAAGATCTAAATTTAAAAAAAAATAAAAAAAGCTAAACCCAAAAACAGTTTCGATCTCTGGTCTGCAGAAAACATAAAATCTGGTTCCGATTCAATCCGGTCCGATTTTGGACCAGTGTACAGCTCTAGGCAAGAGTGATAACAAAGAGGTAACAACTAATAAAACGGAAGTAGTATATGCTATGGAGAGTAGTGTCACATAATTATTATTTTTTTATATATATTTTTTTTGACAAGGTGTCATAATTACTTAAATAACCAAGAAAAAAGAGAATTATTTTCAGCATGGATTCTGAAATTTAGACGAAGTCAATAATGACTAACCTCTATATGTAATTCCTCAAGGATGGGAGAAGCATGTAAGAAATCAGCTATAGTGAAAAGATCAAAACCTACAGGAATGCATAAATGTAAATGCAGCCGCTTCAGACTATGCATAACAATGCTTGCAAGCGTTGGTGGTACCTGAAGATATACGACAGACATGTTAGTACTTACCAGAAGGAATATCTGAAATACGTACTTAAAGTGATATGGCAATAAGTTTAAATTTGAGGTCCAATTCCTCAACTCTCTTTCCGGTAACACTAGCAATAAGTTTAAATTTACTTATTTTCGGTGCTTTCCATATCTCTAGAAACTGATTAACAGCTTTGACAAACTCATCATGAGCATTATCATTTTTTCCTAACACACTTAAAGAATTAAACTCAAGGATGGAAAGGCAATCGGGAAGGTCTTTCCACCTAGGTGACAATGACCTTGTTCTAACAGCATCTCTTATCGGCAAGAAAGAAAGGAGGTGAATAAGAATGTCATCTGGTAATTTGCTTATGTAATCCTCCATTTGATCGATCTTGTTACCTTCAATCCAACAGAAGACTTTAAACTTGTTAGGTTTTGTTGCAATTGTAACACTTGCTTCAAGAAAACCGTACAATAATTGAAAATTTGAAACTAAACAACAACAACGACGATATACCTTCATTGACCCCGGAAATTTATTCCGACACCTTTCATCACTCCCGGAAATTCGGTACCCTATATCATCCCTTGGAAATTAAATTTGGTAGAAAATATAAGCCTTGGAAATTCATACCGGCAATTGACCTTAAGCCCAGAGGCCCCAGACATTAGTTTTAGTAGGTGTCAATTTGCTCTATTGTCACTTTGTCATAGTGCAATCCATCGTAGACCATATACCTTGTGAAGTATATTGTTAGTAAACTTTCTTGTAGCACTGTCATCCTTCCTTCCTTCCTTCCTTCTTTGATGAAAAAAAAAGGGATATTCTATTTGGTGGCCTCGTGGTTTTAAAAATTCTACGTAGAAGACGAACTTTTTTCCAACTCTCTTCAGTGGCACCAAGGTTTAGAAAAATATACATAGTGACCTTTTTTAGGTTTATGGCTAACCTTTTTAGCTAAAATGGTTAACCTTTTAATTTTTTTTTAAAAATAAATTAATTTAAAAAATAAAATAAATAAATTAAAAAAAAAAGCCAGCCACCATCAACTACCACCCTTCCTCCCTGCCACCACCAACCCCACACCCGCCAGCGCCCAGACCCACCCTCGCCGACGTGCAGGCCTTCCCAGCCGTCGCCAATCCCCCTAAACCACCACCCCATCCCCGAAACCCCCTCCCTCTCTCACCGAAACTCCATTAAAAACCCTTCCCTTACCTCGAAAACCCCAACCGGCCCTCCTCCCACCTCGAGAAAACCCGTCGTCCCTCCCCCCACCACCGCGCCACCACAATCTAGCAGCCACACCTCTCAATAAGCGACAGCAACCACAAATCGAAGCAACAAAGCATAAATCCAGCTCGATTTCAATTAAAAAACGGAGCAGGCGCAGGAGGGGGAAGGGAGATCGGTGGTGGTGGCAGCAGCAGGAGGGGGAAGGGAGAAGGGGAAGATGGCTGGAGGCAGCAGGGGTGGTGGTCGGAAATGGACAGGGGAAGGGGAAGGGAAGGGGGCCGGAGGAGGCAGGGGTTGCCGCCTGCCGGAGGTGGGCTGCCACCTGCTAGGGTAGGGGTTAGGGTTTTAATTTATTTATTTTATTTTTTAAATTAATTTATTTAAAAAAAAAATCAAAAGGTTAACCATTTTAGCTTAAAAGGTTAGCTATAAACCTAAAAAAGGTCACTATGTATATTTTTCTAAACCTTGGTACCACTGAAAAGAGTTGGAAAAAAGTTCGTCTTCCATGTAGAATTTTTAAAACCACGAGGCCACCAAATTGAATATCCCAAAAAAAAAAGAGAAAATTATATTACCATCTACTAATTTATTGAAGATATTTTATCGGGAACTACAGAACTACCTATAAATAGCATAATATGTGAACAACTATTCGAATTTTTTATCACAAGTATTATATACCGTGCAAAATAACCTAAATGCACGATTTACTTAAATGTGTTCACAAAAAAAAAAAAAGGTTTACTTAAATGTATTAAATACAATATTGCCCTTTTTAATTCCCATTATCCTGATTTCATTCTTAAATTATTAAGCCCATTTTCTCCAATTTTGTATGTTCTGTATGGTTCGTATAAAAAGAAAGAACGTTTATACTTGTTGACGAAAGAAAGTGATAAGCAATTTAATGTCGTTTAAGCGATGTCTCAGCTTCGAACCTCACCGTATGCATAAGCTCTTGTTGAGAGACTCGTCCACTATAAGCCAGGTGTGCAACCCAGGCCAGATTCGAATGTGGTGAACCAGGTGAACATAAATAAAAAAGAAAGAAAGTTTGTGTCATTTTTCTTTTACACCTCCTTTTTCCCATTTATTGATCCAACTCTTATCAATCCCTCTTTATAATAATAATTTAAGCCCTAAAAAACTCTAGTACCCTTTACCCCTTGAAATAATTTCCAATACCCTTCATTGAAGACTTTAAACTTGTTAGGTTTTGTTGCAATTGTAACACTTGCTTCAAGAAAACCGTACAATAATTGAAAATTTGAAACTAAACAACAACGACGACGACAACACAACAACTACTACACAACAACAAGTCGACGACGGATAGTTCGGATATCCATTATCCGAGTGTTTAATGTTGTTTAAATACTAATTTACAGGCAAATTAATTCACTCAATTTAGCACTTTCTCATAATTAATATAACAAAATTAAGAATTCATTCCATTATAATTTCACGCACCCTCCTTCAAATCATATACACAATAACAAAAATATTATCATTTACAAAACTTAGCAAATAAATTGAAATGACATACTGGTATATAAATCAAAATTTAAAACCAACAAACAATTGATGGCACCTTAGGGTGAGGGAAGCTTCGAGTATAGGAGGGGAGTGGTGGAGTCGGCAGTCGCCGGATGTGGAAGTTGCCGGAGATTAGAGTCGCGTGGATGTGGAACTCGCCGGAGTTTAATCTACGAGGTTACGCAGGAAAGCAACTTCGGGTGACGGGAGAACCGTACCGGCAATAGAGAGGACTAGAAGAGCACTGGAGGGAAGCCAACACCGTGAGATGACTGAGATCTGAGAGGCAGTGAGGAAAGAGAAAGGGGCGGTGAGCCGGTGAAGGGGATCTGAGAGGAGAGAGATGTAGGATTTGGCGTTAGGAATTTTAAATAAACCCATTACAAAAATAAAAAAAATTAGGAATTTAAAATAGAAAGAAATTAGGAATTAAAAATAAACCCAGTAAAAAAATCTTAAAAGATAAAGAAGCAGTGAGGGGTTAGGAAAGGATTCTAATTGGGTTAGAAAAAAGACTTCTAGAGCTTTCCAACGTTACAAATTCTTAAATAGACCTGGTTCACACAAATTTATTGTGGACCACTAACATTAGAGATATTATGATTGTTTTATTAATAAAAAAATAGAGATCACTATATTAAAATAAAGGTTATTATGTTGGAATAAAAGCGATTGTGACATTATAAAAGTTATAAGAGGTTAATTTTTTGGGATGTAAACAGAAATAACATTAAAGGCCACACAAGTTTTAATAAAGGTTACTATGTTAAAAAATAAGGATACTATGTTAAAGTTACGGTCCTAATGTTCCAAATAACGTTAGTTCTGCGTGTATATAAATCTCAGGTCCATAATAATATTATTGTGGACCAGGTCCACGCAAGAATTTCTGTTCCAACGATATATTATTGGTCTTAATTTGAGTTCTGCATCAAAAGTTAGGATAAAAACATAAAACGCAAACATAAATTCGAGTTTTGAAAAATTTAGGCGTTTCTCCACTAGAGTTTTGAAAAATTTAGGCGTTTGGCCTCCACAAAAAAAAAAAAAAAAAAAAAAAACGACTTTAATTCCAACGATGTGTCCGATGACCTTGCCCACGGTTGGTGGTGGTTTGTTGAGAGGAGAGAATGTACGATTGAGTTAGAGGCTAAGGAAGAAAAATATGGAGTACACACGAAGGTATATTTGTCCATTTATATTTAAATGCGGGCGTTACCTGGTAAAATAAGGTCGTCGTTTAACAATCCCCTTATACTGTTCAAAATTTAAAATTTGGAATTTTTTTTTAAAATAAAAGAGATTTATTTATTAACGATACACCAACAAAATTTATTTCGATTAAACGTGGAGTGCGCGTTATAGTACTATTTAAATTTAAAATTTGGAAAGTTTTTCATTTTTATTTTTTTTTTGAAAAAAGAGAAAATTATATTACCATCAAATTTATTGAAGACATTTTACCAGGAACTACAGAACTATCTATAAATAGCATAATATGTGAACAACTATTTGAATTTTTTATCACAAGTACTATATACAGTGCAAAATAACATAAATGCACGATTTACTTAAATGTGTTCACAAAAAAAAAAAGATTTACTTAAATATATTTAAGACAATATTGCCCTTTTTAATTCCCATTATCCTATTTTCATTCTTAAACTATTAAGCCCATTTTCTCCAATTTTGTATGTTCTGTATGGTTCGTATCAAAAGAAGAACGTTTATACTTGTTGATGAAAGAAAGTGATAAGCAATTTAATGTCGTTTAAGCGATGTCTCGGGTTCGAGCCTCACTGTATGCATAACCTCTTGTTGGGAGACTCGTCCACTATAAGTCAGGTGTGCAACCCATGCCAGATTCGGAAGTGGTGAACCAGGTGGACATAATTAAAAAAGAAAGAAAGCTTGTGTCATTTTTCTTCTACACCTCCTTTTTCCCATTCATTGATCCAACTCTTATCAATCCCTCTTTATAATAATAACTTAAGCCCTAAAAAACTCTAGTACCCTTTACCCCTTGAAATAATTTCCAATACCCTTCATTGACCCTCGGAAATTTATTCCGACACCTTTCATTACCCCCGGAAATTCGGTACCCTATATCATCCCTTGGAAATTAAATTTGGTAGAAAATATAAGCCTTGGAAATTCATACCGGCAATTGACCTTAAGCCCAGAGGCCCCAGACATCAGTTTTAGACCAGACAATGCCCTGGTCTGATGAGAATTCCAAGATATCAAGCTTCAGAAACATTTCTGTCATTTTAATACTAATATCTAAGCAAGATCCTTTACATTGTTGTCCCAGGGACTTAAGCTCAAGGAATGTTTGTACCAAAGTCAGGACTAAAGAGCATAGGTAAATGTTGTCTAAGAAAGTTCAACTTTCTTTCTACACTACCATTATGGGTGCATTTATAAGTGATCTACCTTCTGTTTCATAATATACGTCAATATTCCTTCCATCCAAGAAAAGCATCAAATGGCAACCAAAAGCACTAGCTCTTAAACACCTGATAATGTCTCTTTCGCATAACAGATTGATTCTTCTGTTTTGTGGTCACTAACACGAAGTAAAAGAATAGCCTAAACAGTGTCTGCATTTTAAAACCTTAACTTGCTAGGAAATCTGCTGAAATATACAAAGTACTTAGTATATGCATTGAAAAGCAAAAGGCTTAAAGAGATCAATCGGAGTTTTGCTATTGAGTAGCTAATCCCCTAAACAAAACTTCTAGTAAAAGCAACATATTGCTAGACAGATAAACAAATCTTTGACCCCCTCACATATTATTTTAGTTTTTTACAAGATCAGCAGAAAGAATAAGGTAACACATTTATAAGCCAGGAATTTTCCATACTCAAGTTAGCCAAAAAAAAAAAAAAAAAAAAGTGAAGTCTTTATTTAAGCAGCTTGAATGTGTCTGTAGGTCATTGTAAGTAAAACCTCTTAAGGATGTTATCACGAATATCAATGAAAAAAACATGAAAGTACAAAACCCAAATAGATAGTCAACATATCATTTATAAACACCAGTCAGACATACCAAAAGCATAAGGTATTTCATGACTTCTAAGTGTTCTAACTCAAATACCCACAAATACATTATGTGAAAAAAATAAAAGAATAGAACAAAATGTCATGCTATACATTTCACAACATCAGTTTATAGCATTGATGTCATGATTTCATCTGCCAAACACAAGTAATTTGGGATTTCAACCAAAAACGAACTCAAACAGTGATGATTAGGAATACCTCAACAAGCTGCTCGTGATTAGATTTAAGCAGGCTGATTTTGCGCTGACAATACTCCTTGCCTTCAACCATTGTTTTCTAATTCATATGCAACACACATCGAATGCTCAACAAGAATATACAAATGGACAGAAACCACACCCTCTTTTCCACGACAAATAAGTACACAAAATAGAAAGAAACAACATGCCCCGAATTCCCACACTCCCCACCCTGCCCCCTCAAAAATGTCATTACATCAAAACATTTAAAACTCCAAATCACCCAATAATGGAAAGGCATGGGATTGATCAATTTGAGAGAACAACAAATGTAGAACTAACAAGTAGACAAAACCACATGCTTTTTACCATTCTCGGAACGATGGAAACTAAGAGCAAGTACAAACATACACTCCTACCAGAAGAGTGAGTAAAACGATCATCACTAACTAAACTACACATTACAAGTTTACAACCAATGCTTACCAAACCAGCACATCAAATCATAGTAAATAATTTAAGTTCAGCAACTAAAAAATGCTGCTATAAATGAAAACCCAATATTAAATAACCATCAAAAATCAATCAAAAACCCTAACTCAAGCAATTAAAACCCCAACAACAATAACAACAAGAATCAGTCAAATAACAGAAAAAATGAAACAAACCTCAACAAAGTAACCAGTCCCAACATCAATAAGAACCTTATCAGCATCATCAAGAGTACCAGGAACATAAAGCGACGCAGTTAAAGGCACCAACATCTTCTTCCCTGTTCAAAAACAATAATCATAATCAATTTTAATCAAAAATCAAATCTTTTTTATGTTCGAATACAAAACAGAGAAGTAGAAGAGAAGGGTAACCTTGAGGGCGGGAAGAGAGGTGGTGAAGTGCAATAGAAGCAAGTTCAAGACGAGAAGTAGCAGTACGAATGTTAGTTAAACTGTCTTGAAGAAGATTGAGTTCAAGATCTGATTGTTCTTTCACCATTTTCAGTTGTTCAATGCTCATCTTCTCCATCTCCGCCGCACGAACCGCCGATCCTCCTCCTCCCCCCTTGTTCGCCATTGTTTTTCTCTCTCCTGATTCTTCACTCTCCTTTTTTTCCCCTCCCTTTCTTATGTGCTGAATTTCTCGCAAAAAAAAAAAAAAAAAAAAAAAACATTGGTGTATAATGTGATTCTCCAAGATCCTGCATGGGGTCAATTAATGTTATTTTTTTTTTACTATTGGAAGTAAAAAGGGTAAAAAGTAATTTTTTTTTTTTTAATAACCACTTTATTTTATTCAAGTAGAAGAAATTTTAGGTATTCCAATTAAACTAGCTAGAATGTTTCAAATCAAAACTTAAACTTAAAAAAACTCCCTCGAAAGAAAGGGTCGCTCTCTCTCTCGACGAACAGTGTTGCTGTCGATTTTGCCAGCCGCTTCTGCCTCTTACGGTCCTCTCTGTTTTGATCTAAGAGATGGCGGAGGATATTATTTATCGATATGCGAGGGCTTGTGAATAATGAGAATAGGCAACACATAATCTTGCAACAAAATGACAAATGTTGTCTTTTGTAGGAAAAGACAACAATACTTGTTTGTTACCTTGATCTTGAACAATCTATACCACAATACAATGCAACAGTTTAAAAAGTGTTGCTTTAGTGTATGTAAGACAACAATATTATAAAATGTAGCCTTTTTTTAACATTAGGCAACATTTATTTCACATATTGTCTAAAAAGATAACAACAATAAAATTGTTATCTATGCAACAAGTTTAGAAACGTTTTTTCAAGGTATGTAAGGCAACGATTGTTATATGTGTTTTCATTGCTTTATGGAAGCCAACAATTGTAACACTTTTACTTACTCCCTCCGCATTTTATTACTTGCTCATTTCTCCATGCGCGGAGTTTTGGAAGAAATTAGTAAAATATTGTGTAAGGTTTTCAAAAAAGAAATGAGCAAGTAATAAAATACGGTCGCAAAAGAAAAGTAAAGCAAGTATTAAAATATAAAGAGAGTATAGTTTTGTTAACTTAACGACACAAATATGTAACAAAATCATATCATTCTTTAATGAAGTAATATGTAAGCTGTAAACCTGTAATCATAATATTATTACTACATACGGGTATTCAGATCAAGAATTATGTATAATCTTTTTTACAATTTTGTTATAATATTTTATTTTAGTATAATATTGATATTGTTAAAAAAAATCAAGATATTTAATTTAGAAAGAGAATTCAAGATACAGTATACTACTTATGTAATAATAACTATAGTATAGTCGATGAAACTAAGAAATAATTATATCATTTATACATAGGTAAAAGTTCAAAATCTTATACAATTTATGTTTATATTCCAAAAAAAAAAAGGATTATATAAGATAATATGACATATAATCATCAAAAGATCGAATTCAGACAATACAATTAAAAAATATGCTAAGAACTGCATTACCACTTCCTGACAAAACTCATAACAAAGAAGTTCATCCAGTATACTAATTACCAAACATCTAAACAAAATTATATTGCTTTGGAACACATCATAACATACTGACATACTAATAAAAAGATGTAAGTCAAAGAGTGAGAAACCCATATCCTCGTCTTCACTTCCCTCCTTTAGCTTCTTTTCTTCCTTAGTTGCCTCTGCGAGAGCTACCCCACCTCGTTAACTAACCTCGTGTAGCTATGTCAAAAGCTCAAAATTATGTTATGCTGCTTGCTAGTTCTTAAGACTTCTTGAGAATTCTGCTACTAGCCGGAAGCAGGGATCATTCAACTATGCACAAACTGCTTTTGAAATCTACAAGGTTTAAGATCATCGAGGATAATTAAAAAATCTTCACATAGATTAGCTTAAAAATTTTATTTTACTGAAGTACTGATGAGTAAGAATTTAGAAGTCCTTCGTAATGTTGATTTGATCAGGCCTTCACTAATGAGATATTTTTCATAATTGATAAGTGAGATGATTGCATCTAGAATGAGACAACTTGAATGAAGTACTTACAGTTAGAAAAGTGAGTTTGACCAGCAACAGTTGATGAAGTAGTTGGGTTTAAAGGGAATCCTAATGATGCTCAGTAAAGAAAACAGGGGCTGGCATGGTAACGCCACAACTTTTGACAAGCATAATCATGTTCAAAGATATCTACAAAACCCAACCTATGTTCATAATCATGTTCAAAGATATCTACAAAACCCAACCTATGTTATTACATACAAAATCAGCTAGCCCTATTATGAAAATTGCATTTCTATAGCAGAATATGGGGTGATGGACGAAAACTGCAAGAAAATGTTGTAAAAGCTCAAAGTGGCTTATGCAAAGGTTTGCACTGAATTTTTTTGGCTTTTCAAGAACAAGTTTATACTTCAAATTTAGATGGACTAACCAAACTATCATCAGTTACCATGTTATGGACATAAACCTAGATAATAATAATTATTATGTTACCAAATGCATTATACAACCATAAGGAATTACTTAAATAGCACCTAATGTATAAGCATATAAATTGATTTCATTAAGTCCATTATAATTACTTCCCAAACACAAAACCAAACTAATCCCAACAAGAGATACTCCAAATAGCAGTTAGTAATTAATGAGCATGAAAAAGATAGTACTATATGCTTATTAGTCGGTTTAGGCTGTGATTTGGTAAGATAGACCAAAATCTGATTCTCGTATGTTATAATTCCAAAATATGACATGGATGTTGTAAAAATATCAATCAACTCACAAAATCCCCAAGATCTTATCATATTTGTGTCTAATTGGTATATATACCATATATCTGTGAGAATACTAATACTTACAATTATCTAATTTTACTTACCAACATGATTTCACCCAAAGTAAAATATTCTCATACTAATTCTTATTCACAAGTCCAATTTAACAAACACTATTGCAATCAAACAAAACCAAAATTGCATAAGCTAGAATGCTTGATTAAGCATGACATAAATTTTACAAAATAGCTGAAAGAATTCACCATAATTTTACCCGAGTTGCTGCTGCTGCCTGTAGCTTGCGACTGCCTGCGGCTGGTGACTATCTGCTGCCAGCGGCTAGCTGTTGCTGCAGATGGCGAATGCCTACTGGTGGCGGCTAACTACTGCCTGCTGGAGGCTGATAGATGTTGGCTGCTAGCTGTTGGCTGCAGGGTGCTAGCTGCTGCTAGTGGCTAATGACTAAGCTACCTGCTGATGGTGGGTAGCAGCTGCCTGCTGCTGGCTGCTAGCTGCTGCTGCTGGCTGCTAGCTGCTGCTTCCTGCTGCCTGTTAGCTGCTGCTGCGACTATCGGCTTCCTGCTGCCTGCTGCTGCGGGTGGCTGGCTGTTAGATCACCTGGTTTGTATATATGCTCCTTTGGGCTGCAAGAAAGTAAAACTTGTCAATTTAAATATTTTGAGAATCATTATGAGTGACAGTCCATGTATTCCAATCCTTTGTAAGATAATAAGAAATCGTACCAAAAACAGATTATACTTCATTGTTGCACAATCCTTTTCTCAATATTACAAAAAGATTGCAGAAACACACTTGCAACCATCATAAGCCATAAAACAATATGCAAATGAAGTGATATTTTAGCAATTAAACAAGTAATTATACTAAAAATAATCGATCTAAAATATGATTTCACGGATTGACATTAATAATATAGAGTATCAAACAAATTTAAGCACTATCTTAATCATAAGCTTGGTGCAGATACAAACTCTAGAAACCAAGTGAGTAAAACTGGACTAGCACCTAATCCCACGCCCACCAAACATCGAGCTACTAGCAATACTAAGAAGTTTGGTGAAGCTGCACTCAGTAGACCAGCTGCACATGTAACTACTGCTGAAAACACAAAACCTTTCCTGAAACATACAGAGTTGCAAATAATTTAGAAATATTTTCATACGAGAATGATATGCTTATATTATTAATTATGTCCTAAAATCTATCTAATTCTCAAAAGTTATAATTCCAAAATATGACATGGCAGCAGTAAAAATATCAATTAGCTCACACCAATGCTAATTCCATAATCTAATTCTCAAACTTATTCGTATTTTAAAGTCCAATTTAACCAATACTTTTGCAATCAAACCAAATCAAAACTGCTAAAACTAAAATGCTTGATCAAGCATGACGTAAATTCAGCATATTTTTACCAGATTTAAGCTTGAAATGATATTATTCCAATATCGACAAGCTGCTGCCTGCGGTATTCTGCTGTCTACTGCCTGCTGCTAGAGCTGGAAAATGCCTGCAGCTTTCCAGGCTGGTGGCTACATGCTATTGCGTGTGGCTGGCTAATAGAAAACTCTTAACATCTCCTCCAACAGTCATAAGCTGATCTACTAGCATTACATGCAAAGTACAGAAGCTAGTTTAAGAGGTCATACCAGCACCAAAAGCAGTTTCTGAAACCCCGTAACGATTGCAAGCCTGTGAGACATAAAAGGGGAGAAATCAATAAAGTACAGTTCAGTCAAGCAAGCAAGTAGCTTTGAGCCAGGCAACGCAGGCCAAGATGAGATATGACTACTGGAACTTCATATTTATTTGATTTGGACAATTAACTGATTATAATCCGAAACAAACAGATTAAGCTTCATGAGATTATCAAATAATCCCAAAACAAAACCAAAAAAAATAACCAAACTTTTGATCATTAAAACAAATAATTTTGCAGTCAAACAAAACCCAAAACTGTTTAACCTAAAATCCCTAAGCTTTTATTACTTCAAAGTTACTAAAAACAGAATACTAGAAAGGACCAATCATATTTCCAAAGCTTCATCTTCACTTTCTTGCATGAAATCCCATAGTGTATTATCCTCGATTTCATCATCTGAATCATCAATTTCCGGCGCTGCTTGCATTTCTAACATGTATTCTGGAACGTCAACAATAGTGGCAGGCAAGTCCTCTCTCAACCAACTAACATCATAGTCATCAGCAACAGTTGCCCCTGGGCGAACACCATCACTAGCAGATTCATTCCAATAAGAAACTCCAACATCACCATTTGATTCTTCACTCATATCAAAGAAGTCTCCGGGGATAGTTTCCATAACGTAATGCAAATGCTTTTCTTTGGAATCTTGCACATAAAAAACTTGGTTTACTTGATTAGCCATCACAAAAGGGTCATTAGTATAGCATAACCTTTTAAAATTTGCACATGTTAGCCCAAACTCATCTTGCTCCACTTGAAACCAGTTACAGCGAAACAATACCATTTTGAAATGCCCAAAATAATCTAACTCAATGATATCCTCCACCACTCCATAATATTTGACGTCCCTAACAACAGGATTTTGATCCCTGGAACTTGCAAAATTCGACATTGAAGATGTTACACTAACTCCACTACATTGAGTTTTCCTTTTTGACTCATGTGCAGTTGTATGAAATTTGTTACCATTTATTAGGTACCCTTAAAAACTTCTCACAGTATAGTCAGGACCTTGGGATAAAGCCTTGATTTCTTTGGAAACATTTTCTTCCCGTACACGGTCCTTGAACCATGCTCCAATATCATGACTTTGTTCTTGTGCTCTCGCCCACCTACTCCGCTTATCTCGTCTACCTTGACTTCTTTGACGATTCACTAAATCTTGATGTTCACTACATACATATCACAAAGCAACTTAGTTGTATAAGTCAAATTATAAGTAATAAAGATTAAATATAGTTAATATGAAATAATACCAATTTAAATTTACTTACTGACCTTATGTAATCACTTATTTCATCACAATTAAAGAGTACATAGCGATGAGCTTTCATCAAAGTGTCTTCATCTAAAGAAACCTTTTTGCCTTTATTTTTCTTTTTTACACCTAAAGGACGTCCAACATTAGGAAAAAGGCTTCCATCTTCATTGGACGCAGTATCATCATCATCATCATTTCTAGGTGCTCGATTCAACTTTGAACTAAATTCATCGTGAAGATACCGAGAACAAAAAATAAGGCATTCTTCTGCCAAGTAGGCCTCTGCCACGGAACCTTCGGGTCGACTTCTATTTTTTACATACGACTTCAATTTACCCAAATACCGCTCTTTCGGATACATCCAACGACTTTGAACAAGACCCCCAAGCCTTACCTCCTCTACAAGATGAAGTGGAAGGTGGACCATTATGTCAAAGAAACTGGGGGGGGGGGGAATATCTTCTCAAGTTGGCAAAGTATCTCTATGATTTCAGATTCAAGATCGTCAAGATCTTTAGGCTTTAGAACTTTCCTACATAGACCCCTAAAAAAGGATCCTAGCCTAATCAAAGTCGATGCTACTTGCTTAGGCAAGGTATTCTTTACAGCAACTTGGAGCAAATAATGAAGCATAAAGTGGGCATCATGGCTCTTGTAACCAGCAACTTTCCTCTCATTGGATTGGACACATCTGGAGATGTTTGATGCACAACCATCGGGAAACTTAGCACCTTTTATCGCACTGCAGAACAAGTCTTTTTCACTAGAAGATAAAGAAAAACAGGCTTTGGAGTATAAACGCTTCCCTCTATTATTTGTTCTCTTTGGATGGAGTTCATTTCTTATACCCATATCTTGTAAATCAAAGCGGGCTGCCACATGGTCCTTAGGCTTTCCTGGGATATCAAGCAAAGTACCGAGCACACTGTCACAAATATTTTTCTCAATGTGCATAACATCAAGATTATGACGCAAGGTATTAGTTTCCCAATAAGGAAGCTCAAAGAAAATTGATTTCTTCTTCTAAGGAAATTTCTTTATGCCCTTCTTTTGAGTTTTCCCAAACTTATTTTCAAACCCTTCTAAATCTTTTAATACCTCAGAACCTGAGAATCTAGCAGGAGGAGGAGGCCTTGTCTCTACATAACCATCAAAAGCTCTCTTATTATGACGCCATGGATGATCTTCTTTCAAAGAGCTACGATGTCCCATGTAACACATTTTCTTGCTATACTTCAGGTATTTGGACCAAGTCTTATGATTGCAATTCGGGCAGGCAAATTCTCCTTTGGTGCTCCATCCGGACAACATTGCATAAGCAGGGAAGTCACTGATTGTCCATAACAAGGCTGCCTTTAAAGAAAATGTTTCATCTTTCACAGCATCATATGTCTCAACTCCAACTTTCCATAACTCCTTCAATTCCTCGATTAATGGTTGCAAGTAAACATCAATGTCATAACCCGGAGAAGAAGGACCAGGTATAATCAAAGACATGATATTATACTCGGACTTATTATATAACCAAGGAGGTAAATTATAAATGGATAAAACAACAGACCAAATACTATATGACACACTCATAGTTCTGAATGGGTTGAAACCATCAGTAGTAAGACCCAACCTCACATTTCGAAAATCACTTGCAAATTGAGGATGTGCAACACCGAAATCTTTCCAAGCTTGTCCATTAGCAGGATGCCTTAATTTGTCATCTTTCTTGCGATCAGTTTCATGCCATGTCATGAGTCCAGCCGTCTCAGAGCACATGAACAACCTTTGTAGACGAGGTTTAAGAAGAAAGTAACGCAAAACTTTTGCAGGAACTCCTTCGTCGGGCAATGCACCTTCCTCTTTTTGCTTCTCATTTAACTTCCACCTAGAAGCTTTACAAACATGGCAAGACTTGTCATTTGCACGTTCTTTCCAATACAACATACAATCATTAGGACACGCATCGATTCGTTTGTAATTAAGTCCAAGGTCCTTCACCATTTTTTTAGCATGATGAAAAGAAGTGGGAAGCTTTGCAAATGGAAAGGCAGCACATTGAAGCTTCATCAACCCGCCGAAAGAAGAATTGCTCCACCCGTTAAGGCATTTAAGTAGATAGAGTTGCACTGTGTATGAAAGCACAGAAAAATCCTTACAGCCGGGATATAATTCCTCTCGTGCATCCTCTAACAATTTATAAAACTTTTTAGCACTCTCATGAGGACCCATTCGAAGTTCTTCTGCTTCAGAGCTTGAACCTCCTATAACATCTCTGAAAATATCATTAAGCATCTCATCCATATTGTCTAATGTGTTTTGATTATCACACTGATGCCCATCTCCCCTTGAAGAAGACCCTGTTGTCAATCCTTCGCCATGAAAGTTCCACACTTTATACCTCTTATTAAATCTGTTAGCAATTAGGTGATTGAAAACCTCCTCCCTTGGGAACCAGAACCTGTTAACACACTTCGTACATGGGCATAAAATTTCCGATTCATCATCTTCCTCTGTGTCCATGGTTGAATTTAGAAATGCAAAATCTAGAAAATTCACAACTCCTTTGATATATTCTTCGGCCGTGTGGGGTGCATCAGTCCAATCTTTGTTAATGTTTTCCATTATAATACTCTATAACATAAGATGTTATATGGAGGATCAACAACAAAGGTAATAAACTAAGAGACAAATATTGACATGAATTCTTGGGCTGGCTAAAACAAAATAAGAAGACAAACTTTCTGCAATAAAAATGCATATTCAATTTTTATAACAACAGAAATTCATATAGTATTGGGGACAAAGCAAGGGTTACTGATGAAAAAAGAAAAATTTTATTAACTTTAAAAATTAGATAAATTAAAGGTCACAAATCTCACAATACGAAAATTGAGTCACACCCTAAAAGAGATACAACCAAAGAGATTGGTAACAAGCACCTAACAATCCCATGCTAACATTGTAAAACAAATCTCTTTCTAGATAAGTAATCAAACAATCATTCAACATCGATACACGAAAAATGGAGTACATATTAGCCAATGCTATTAAATTATGATAAGCAATTTAAAGTGGCAGACAATTGATAAATGGAATTGTGGTTAGTAACTAAAGTAGTGGACAATTTGAAAATTCAACTAGACTAACAAAGATATACACAAGCAACTAGAGTACGACAACCAAAAAAACAAATAATATAAAAATAAAGAAAGAAATAAAGAGAATTAGATACATGCAGAAGCAATATAGAACACAGATGCTACGAATTACTCACATGAAGCCGGGTATTGTGTTTTTCTATTTCTGCACCGAATACCGTGACTTTATCGCACCAAATATCAACAACCTATGGAAAATATACAAAGCAAAATTGAGATTGCAAATTTTAAGTTAAATAAAAACAAGGTACAGTTACAAAATCAGTAATTATTTACGAAAAGATGATCATACTGAGAAATTAATTCAGTTGGGATGTTCAATTACAAAATAAACTAGATTTCTGAAAATACTATACTCCGTAAATTGGAAATTTGATCTGATTAGCACAAATTTGAATGATAATAAAATTATAAATTGGAATCAAAATAAAAGTATAAACTGAAATCAAATGAAATTATAAAGTGAAATTAGGTTTAAGTTCATAAAGTTGGGAAGCAAAATTCAGATTGCAATCAAAAGTAGTAGAAAGAAATCTAGAAAACGATTAGAATTATGGGCGCCATCCACTTCGTCCCCTCCACAGCTCCACTCCACTCAAGCTTACAGACTGTCACACCTCTAAGCCTTCCAACCTCACTGAACATGCAATTGATGCAAATTAATTAAACAATTCTCTACCTGAGTGCCTGACCCAGCCCATGAGCCCGACAGACACTCCCCAGGCTCTAGCCCAGCCCCGACAGCCACCCCCTCCCCCTGCACCACCACCGAAACCACCCTAAATTGAGTATATACTCAGTGGCGGACAATTAAATACACGATTAACACAATAACACTAGATTGTGAAAATCTAACCTTAGAGACTGCTTCAAAGCCTTCAATGGAGGAGTCGAGCTGTCGAGGAGAGAAAGCTCAGAAAGTCAGAACTCAGAAGCCGCTTCAATGGAGAATTTCGAGTACGCTTCAATGGAGAATTTCTAGTACGATGATTGATTTTGTGGGAAGTTTGTTATGGGTTTGTTTGTTTGATTTTGTGTGCCTGCCACCTACTAACGAATTAATTGGGTTTGTTTTGTTTTTTTTTTTTTGTTTTTTTTTTTTCTATGAAATTTTCTTTTTCTTTTTATACAAGAACACTGCTATATTTTACTGAGTATTAAATCAAGAGATGCTAAATCCAAAAATTTCCTACTAAGCATTACCTTTAAGCCAATCTTTAATAATAATAATAATAATAATAATAATAATATTAATAATAATAATAATAATAATAATAGGTATTACTCCGTAAGAATAAAGTTTTGTAATCTCAACTTGTTAATATTTTTTACCAATATAAAATCATATTTATCTAAAGTCAAAGTAATGCATATGTGTCAAGTTTCACTGTGTCGATTATATAAGGACATGATTAGTATCAACTGGTTATATGGTATCAATTCAATTACGGGTTGATCATTTAGTGATTAGATCATAATGAGTCAAAGTTACCATTTTAGTCCACCTGATCCGTTTGGATTAGATTAGTTGTGTCAATTCAACTTGTTATGTTCGAAAACAAGTTGGGTTAACATCAAATCAGCTCAAAATAGTTTGGATTACAACAGATATCTGTATAGATCGATGTTGCGTCAGGTTAAGTTCATGATTGTCAAACCAGAATCAGTTGAGATTAAATTTGATGAAATTGGCATAAGACTTATTAACATAATAAAACAATGTGACTCACTATATGATTCTTTTTCTTCTATATAATGAACTTGACTTTCACATTTGTATAATTAAAAATAGATTGTCATAATGGTCAAGGTTACCCTTTTAAACCATCCGGTTTGGGTCAGATCAGTTTTTAGTTGGGCCAATAACTATCGGGTCCATGTCAGGTTTGAGCAAAGCCATTAACTTCGTATTGGTTAATGCTCAAATTGGAGTATAAGGTTCAACACGGGTTTGGGTGGGTCTATTTCATATCAGTTGATTTTGGGTCTCCTAGATTTACAGTTTTGCTGATTTCGATTCAATATTACATTTGTATAAACCTTCATAAAAAATTATTACAAACAAGACTTTATTGTGTTCAATTTTATTCCTCTTATTTTACAAAAACATAAGCTCACGTAAGCTTAGATAAAATTAAATATGCTTCAGAGAAACTTGAAATAGTTTGGTAAGGTAACTTTTTTGCCAATTTCGGATAACTTTAAATTTTTTGGGCAACTTTGAAGCCGATAAGATTTTAATGTAAATTGCCATTGAAATAAGTTTTATAAGGATATTATAGTTACTTTTACTTACAAACCTTAATTTTTATCTGTTTATAGAGCGTAAATTTATCATTAGAACATACACAATATTTTATTTATATCGGGGGTAATATTTGTTCATAACAGACTAACTAATAATCACTTTAGAGAAATATTAATACAAATATACAATATTTATTGTACATCCAATTTTTATTTTATTTATATTTTTTCCTAAGAAAAATAGTTTGATTTTTATTTTAAATTTTTTTTATCCTAATAATAGATTACTATCCACAAACTATAAAGTTGCAACTAGCTTTTAGCCATTTTAATTTATTTGTTATATCACATTACATTTTTGTTTCATAAGATTAAGATATTTTTGTAATCCCACCCAAGTAAGGTTCTCTAGTTTATTCCCAAGCATCTTTCAACCAAACTTTAAATATAATTTAAAACACAAAAAAAAAAAAAACAAAAACAAAAAAAAAAAAGAAAGAAGTGAAGAAGTCGGTCCTATACTCCAAAAGACCAAAACCCATCATCCTCAACAACTCATCGTCAACTCCTCAACTCCACAACCCCGATTTCTTCTCCAAACCCGCGAAATGGTGAATTATTTTGGGCTCCAAAATTTTTTCATTATGAATCACCAGTTACTCCACTTTTCAGTTGTTGATCTCATTATACACCACACTCATCACCTTAAAATCATCATATCTATCAATCGGTTACTTACCTCCTTTCTTTCTACTCAGGTGAGAGTTAATTATGAGATAAAGTAACTGTTTTGTAATTAAATAGTTGATTTGATGTTGGATCTGATTATTAGATGTAAATATCTTCTGGGTTGTCTTAATTCTGTCTTTTTTTTTTTTTGTTGGTTATGTTTCTGGGTTAGCTTTATTATAATCCCTTTTTGTTATCCCTGATGTTATCCATGATGAATGAACCACATTTTGTGGGCTTGTTCTTGTGATGATGATGTTTATTTTTGGTTTTGACGTTTGAATTTCTGGAACGGGATTATGGGATTTTTGTTTTAGACATAGTTTATGCTTTATGAATGAGGAAATCCCTTAGTTTTTCATGCGATTAAATATATAAGTTGATTGTTTTTCTATGATTAATTATTGGTATGATTGTGCTTCTGTGATTCATTTGATGTGATTATTTTCGAAATGTGGCAATGCTAGGATAATACGATGCAAAGTATTCTTATATTCCAAAATCAGTAATTAGCATTAAAGGTTTGATCATTAGCATGAAAGAGAGAAAGTCCTTTAACTAGTATCCAGTTACTGATTGATTGTGCTTCTGACTTTTTTCGTCTGATTTCTTCCATTTTAATTTATTTGTTATATCACATTACATTCTAGTTTATAACAATTAATGCTGATTCTGATATTGTGCATAGTGATAAAATTATGTAATGTGTTGTGAGGGGAAAAATTAGTGCCAAACTTCAACATTAATATTATGTTGTGTTTGTATTACATTTTTGACGTAGAGTGCGTTAATGTCTCAAATTTCAATGAAGTATTTATAATTAATTGTGCAGCAGACTTAAGTTTTATAAACAAAACGGGCCAGTTTAAAGTTCAATACCTAAAAGAGTATGAGTGGTAAGTTACCTGAGTACTCATTTTTTAGTTTTGATACTTAGGACAGTGAAGCAATTCTCATGATGATTAGTTAATTAGTGTGATTCATCTGTATGTCTGTTGATATATTTAAGTTTGAAGAACATAGAAATATTCTCTGACATGAATCGAGAAATTTCCAGCTACCTTGTCAAGACCTTCACATTTTAGCTCCCATGTGAAACACTAGCTCCCTTCTCTTAAGTGTTCCATCCTAGTGCTGCCTCCCACGAGTCTATATTCCTCTTTTTTCGTCTGATTTCTTCCAAGCCCCATCCATCTAAGAAACAAAATCAGGGGTATCCCTCTCCAATTCTGATTACTTCTTTATTTGTACAAGCTTGCTTTATGAGTGCTTATATATATATGATTTGTTTTCTTTTGTATAATTGGATTCATTTTCAAATTAATTAGCTCCAAGTATGACAAAGAAAAAAACCACTGAGCTTGGAGCTATAAGAGGTTCAGGTGATGAGCATCAAACTCATGAACCAAGAATGGCAGAACATGAGAGGCTGAGAATGGAAACGATTAAAAAAAATTTGACAAGAATTGAAGAATTAGGTTTGAAGGAACAGGCTAAGTCACTGATGGCGCGAGTTCAAAATAATAGAGGCATCAAAGTAAGAATAAAAAGAAAAAGGTTTCGGGAGACGATGAGCTTTATAGGCCTAACCAAGATATGGAGCATGAGCTTGATTCAACCGATGAAGAGTTTCCCGTTCCACAGTCTAACACTAAAGAATAGTCCAATTCTACTCGATGGAAGGTAGTTGTTTCTATGCTATACATTTATCAATAAGCATGTCTCTTATCTTTACTTATGTAAATTCTGTATGCATCAAAATGTGTTGTGCTGCTACATATATGTGGATTTAAATTAAGAATGGAACACGCACTATTATCTCATGCAAGTATGAAACTAGGCATAATGATTGATGTTTGAATGTTTTGCTTTGCTATCAACTCTGAACATGTATTGGTAGCAAATTTGTCAGTTCTCTACAGATTTAAATAGTAGTAAGAACCTTATTTCCAATTCTTTCCCTATGACTATGCTAACAGTACATAGGATGCTGCTATACCCCAGCTGCCCTGACCTCTAGCTCTCTTTATTGATGTCTTGGTGTACTGCTACAGCTTTATAATGTTGTTGTTGCCTATTGCTTTGCGGTTGTTGAAACATTAATTCTACTACCCTAATGCTGAGTTCTCTACAACAATGACATCAAACATTTAAACTACGAATAAAGAATTGATGACTGGGGTTAGTTAGTGGCAAGGCTGCATGCATCTTACCTCCTGAGGTGCTATATATGACCCTCTCAACAATGGGACCAACAGTAGAAATGAGGTTAAAAAATGCAAACCAAAAACTTCTAATCTATTTTTAACAATAAACTTTTAAGTTTGAGATGTCATCCACAAACTATCACCATGTCACCATAACTTCCTCTTAGCGTAGTCATCAGTCAGTCGCATCTCAGTATCTCACATGGCAAGTGCATTCATCTTAAAGTTTGTTCATATAGTTAGCTTTTACATACTTGCACAATGAAAATACTCCTTGAGAAATATAAACTCATATTAGTTATATACAGTTTATCTCCATAATATGTATAAATTCTGTTATCTTTCTACTTCATGAATTTCAATAGTCTTACATTATCCTCATGTTCAGATATAAAACAGGTCTCAACGGACATGCCTTAAAAACCAATAGATACTACTTACTAGGCACAGATTTTCTAAACACCTCGAAGTGCCGAACATGCCTTAAAAACCAATAGATACTACTTACTAGGCACTGATTGTCTAAACACCTCGAGGTGCTATTTATATAGTTATGATTCCTCAGCATGCAGTCAGAGATGCAAGATTTTGCTTTCTGACTGGAAAGTGAGAATATGAATAGACAGCAGTCAAAACCCTTATCCAAGCAAATTCTTTTATACCCACGTTACAATAACCTAGAAATTGGAATCTTCTTTTGCACTTCTATCATTTCCTTACACCTATAGTGGATAAGTACATTCAAGTAGAGGCCAGGGGATATGAAAAGGAGGAATTAAAGCAAGATTGGAAAGACTTGGGTGAATGTTAGGACAATTATATCTCATTAAAAGAAGAAGGGAACTTATCAAACGTGGATACAGGGTTGAATTATTCTTTCATAAGATATTTTTTACATAAAGACCATCTTAGGTTGGGTTTAGACACCATTACATGTGAGTATACTCTTACCTACTCCATTACATGCGAGTATATAATCAATCACAGTAACTTTGGCTGCAATAAGGTACCTACTCCATTACATGTTTTGCATACATC